TAAGAATTAAGGCAGGAAAGCAGAATGACAAGTTTAAATTAAGGATGCTGGTGCCATAGGCACACTAGAAAGTGGGTGGGAGGAGCGTGACGCTGGGATGCTGAGGTTTGTGAAGAGACGAGATGCTGCCAGAGGAGGAGTCAACCTGAATGAAATGTAGCTTGAAATCAACCCAAGTCAAACAAATGTATTCAGGAGCAATATTGAATTTTATGGTTTGAAACTCCAAGCATGACTGAAAAATAAACACGAGGATTATGCACTCAGCTAATTCCCAGTAATAATGGAATACATCAAAGGAAATCAGAATGGCTGTGCTGGTGGGGGATGCAGGAATAACAGGAGACACAACAGAGGCAGCAGTAACGACTGCTCTCTGCAGCACCTCCAGGACACATCCAGAGTAGACAGGGAGCTGGTCCTGAACAGTGTCTGGTCGGGCTGGAATGTTACTCTTCTCTAAACAGTGCCCGGAGTGTGGCTGGCCTCAACGCCTCTGCAGGAACGGTAAAAGCCCCAAAAGGTGGAGCTGGTCCTGAACAGTGTCTGGTTGGGCTGGAACGTTACTCTTCTCTAAAGAGTGCCCGGAGCGTGGCTGGCCTCAACGCCTCTGCAGAAACGGTAAAAGCCCCAAAAGGCGCGATGGCCGTGTTTCAGTTAAAAAGGGGGAACTGTAGAAACTTGGGGGAGCTCATTAAAGAGAAATGAGAAGGGCCATCAAAAGGAGACAGAGACTGTTAATGACAGCAATCAATAGTGTTCTGAAACATGGAGAATCTCTAATTATTGAATATTTCATTAGTGAAGGTTAATTTGATTGTCCGGGGGTCAGCAAAGTGAGTGTAGGGTGTTGGGAGAGGGAGGCTGGGCCCATGGCTCCTGGATTCTGATTCTCATTCTGCTACTAACTGCTCGATTCTTGGATTTTTTGATCAGTTTTGTGAAAGCATCCATCCTGGTGTGGGTGTGATCCTTGTCAACAGCAGGGTGCTGTGCAGTCATGCCTGAGCGGGCTGTCTGGGGTACCAGGGGGGCGTGTGCCACCAGGCCTGTCTTAGCTCTAACTTCAGTATCCTTATTCCTTCTAAAACTGGAGTTGCAGGCACAGCTCTGTGGAGTAAATCCAACCAGGAAGTTTCCTAACAGCTCGGTTGGACTAGACAGATGTAGAATAAAGTTCTGTACCTGCCTGTAGGTCAAAAAAGGGCATTGCATTCTATTGCAAGGGCTAAAAAAGGGGGGAAAGACGAAGTTACCACTGAAGTCATAATGGGACTTTGAGACACAGTAAGATTGGAAGTTTTAAAAATGGTGATATACTTTGATAATCTCCTGATTTGAAGTTATTTCATTATTAATGGCTGACTGAGGCAGCGCACTGCAAGAGCTCCTGGCGTGTAAACAGCTGAGGAAAGTCTGTGATTACAGATGGGTGTGGGGAAGTGGAATTCTCGTCCCCACTGAACTGCATTTTGTCACTCCTCCATTGCAATCCCTTTGACTCTGAGAGCGGCTCAGCTCCAAGCTGGGCTGGGGTGTTTGCGGTGTTCAGGGCTTGGGTAGGTGGGTAATATTTGGCAGAATCGGATCTTTAGAAATGTTTTGTTCAAATCCATCATTTTTCTCTTTCCTAGTCATTAGTTTAACCCCCGATGGTGTAGGTCTTTCCGAAGCTGTTGTGTTGGCCCGTGTGGAGCAACACCAAGCCCTGTAGGCGGTTTTACGGTACTGCAGAAATGGGTGTGTCCTGAATGTGATTTTATTGGCATTGCTACGAAATATGGGCATAACTGTGTCATCCCAAGTACTTTGGAACGTAAAGCTGTCTGATGCATATGGAGCAGCTCTTCAAGGCCCCAGCGGTAGGCTGCGTACTAGGAAGAAGAGAAACGGTAAGATAGGAATGGGATCAGCACCTACCCCCCTCGCTGCTAGAATGCCTGCTTCAGTTCCAGGGCAATTGTTTGTACAAAGGCTTACACTTGCTGAAATGAGGAGATCATTATGGGATTGCGGAGAGAGTAACAACTGGGAGTCATACCGAACACTGCTACTAACAGGAAAAAAGCATAAAACTACCCCAAGTTCTCCACTGAGCACGTTACTATATGCCATGGCACCGCATTTCCGAGCTTTCACTTGAACCAACAGCTACCTGCGGAGACGTTCCGGACCACACGTGGAACTGGTTGTATAATGAGGCAATTTGGGAGTTGGAAATCAATTGCCAGCACACACGAGCCATGTCTTCTGCACGCTACGTTTGCATGGCTCGGGGGAAGGTACCTGAGCACCTCTGCCCTGGACCGCAGGCAGCCTGCCGGAAAAGGAGTGGAAGGCAGAGGAAAAGACCACCAGGAAGCAGTGGTCAGCGGTGTGAACAAACCCACGTGAACTTGGGTCTGTGCTCACTGGCCAGGTGGCCATTCTGCGGTCTTGGATGCTTTCACCCTCGGCGCCGGACACAGCACATCCCACTGCAGGAATGGCCTACCCCGCAGGAGTCTGTCAGCCTGGTAACTCCACAGCTCAGACATGGCCCACGGAATCACACACAACTGGAAGCAGGAACTGCCTGCGGCCTCTGCTCAGCGACGTCCCCAGTCACTCCCCCATTCACACCCGGGGCCGTTTGGATGGTCTGAAGTGATGGATGGAGCAGGCCATGATGTAGGGTTTGGTCTGTAGTAACCCATGACCTTTCAGTATTTTGGGGTTAACAGTTTCCACTGGAAAATCATCTGATACGATCCTGTCATTTCAGGGGCTGCGTGCTAAGTTGTAGGGTGGGGATTTTTTAATTTTCAAATGAATGTGAATGTGTAAGGAGGGGTTCACGGGGTCAGAACTAAAGCAGTGTCCTGCCTGCAGCACTGGCTGAGCTTCTACAGGAGGCAAATGGGAACCAAAGGTTTAAGAAATGTCCACCCAGCAGATCCTGCCCTGGAGTAAGGCAGTCTGCATGCAAGGCCATTCCATGGGATTCACCCGCACCCTCAGGTTTCGTCTTGGCTCTGCAGAAGTGTTCTGCAGAGGTGGCCAGGAAATGGCTGAAGGTACCGAATGCATCAGGTCTGATTAGGGGTAAAAGAAAAAGGAATAGCAGTGGGCAGAGGGAAGGAGGGATGGCTGATGCTCCTTTGGTCCTACAGAGAGCTCAGCTACACGTGCTGTGGCACTGTGCACCGTGCTGCCCGAAGGTCTTTAGGTGCAGGTGAGCTTGGAAGACGTGGTGAGGTAGAAACTGCAATTTCTTCAGGGGATTTCAGGGCAGAGATAACCAGAGGAACTGACTCCCCTCCGAGCACCCGCGTCCCACACGGCTACACCAAGGGCCGTGTGTCCCGTACCCTGGTAGCTGACCCCTGCATGTCAGCCAGCGTGGGGCAGAGCTATTCCTTTCTCACTCCAGAAATGCACCCTTGGCATCCCCTTCGCGCCCAGCTTCCTGGCATGAATTTAGGAACCTTGAAGGTCGTGAGTACTAAATCTCTGTGGGGGTTTTTGTCAGAAAAAATGGAAAAACCTTACTTAGAGCGTCCTAGCACTCGTTTGGCTAATGACACGGATAGCTGCAGCAGGGACAACTACATCTGCCACACCAGCTCCCTGAAAACCTCAGGCTGAGCCCAGACTGACAGTGGGAGAAATCTTTGCCTGGTTAAAGACAGTGTCACTGTCATTGCACTATCTCCTCGCGGGAGCAAGATCCAGCACTGGCAGCAGCGAAGTGTACTGGTTCCCTCCTCTCTTCGCCCATCCCTGGAGCAGAGAGGTAGAGGAGTTGCTGAGATTCTCATTTTCTCTTTCATTTTTAGCTTTATGGAACAGAAATGCCACCTACAATTCGCAATTAGCAAGGCAAACAGAACAGCACGGTTACAAACTTGTCCACAGCACAGACAACAGGTCCAGCGACGCGTTTCTCGGTCTTCGCACCCGGAAATGAGAAACAGCGTTTCAGAACCTTACACAGAGCTGAACTGCAGTTCTGCCAAGTGGCCGGACACGCTGCGTAACACGATTCACATATGCGGGAGGGTTTTGTGAGTAAGTTCAGCACATTGCTGAAAGGAATTCAAGATCTGAAGTGCAAAGCGAGCTGTTTTGCCCAAGTCGGGAATTCACTGGATTTCTAAAGCATGTGGCAAGTTCTCTCTCCAGCAGAGCTGCCGTGGCTGTCACTGAACCCAGCACAACAGCAAGTGTGAGAATGATCGTGAAGAAAGGGATGTTTCCTCGGGGAGCGTCACAGCACCCCCCGAGGAAGATGGTCCATCAAAGCATCTCTGCTGGAAATCTGACCACCCCATCTCCCCTTGGCTCTGTGGAGCCTACAGCTGCCCGAGCCCGCTCCTCTCAAAGCACAAAGGTAAAGTTTTCCCTGCCCTGTTTTCCGTCACAGTGAAAAAGGCTTCTCTGCTGCAGGGACTCAGAAAAAATGAAGCTCTTGGAAACCATGTTCTTAGCAGACCTCGGGGCATGCACAGATGGCAGCGTAAATGCTCTCATTAGTTACACTCAGGGGGAAGCAGCTCCGAGCTGTCTGCGAGAAGAGCCATTAAAACCAGAGGCTGAAGTGATTGCCAAGGGGGCCGAGGCATCTGTCAGCTGCAGGAACACAGCGAGGAGGGAAATTTGAAATCCTCTCCCTTCACACACAATCTCTACCCCAGTTTCGCAGGTGGGAAAGCAGAACCCTGAGCAGTGGCTCCCGCTGCAGAATTAGCATTAAAAGGTGGCACACACAGACCAGCTGAAGACGAACAGGGAGAGGAAGTGTTTGCATAAAAGAAGCCAGCGAAAGGCTGCAGGGGAAAGACCAAAGACAGGGAGTAAAACAGCGCATTAGGGAGATCTGAAACGAGCACAGAGGAGCGCGACCGATGAGCTCTTGAGGGCTCTGCCTCTCATCGCCTAATGACCGTTACCTCTGCGCTGGCATTTCAGCAGAGAACCCGTCTCGCTCTCACCCCTAAGCTTTCCCTCTCCTTTCTCACCTGTCCACAGCTATGGCTGTCATGGAGTAGATGCTGGCGAAGACGGCAGTGATTGGGAAGAAGTTGTGGAAGCGGCAGTAAGTCTCTCCAAAGTACCACTCGCTGTGCAGTGCGTAGATGAAGTTGATGAGAGTGTTGAAAGCAGCCATGGAAGCATCGGAGAAGGCCAGGTTCACCAGGAAGTAATTGGTCACCGTCCGCATGCGCTTGTGAGCCAGGATGATCCAGACGACAATGAGATTTCCGAAAACGGCCACTGCCACCACACTGCCGTAAGCCAGAGACCACAGGGCGATGCGCCAAGAGGGTTGCACAAACTGATTGGAGAAGTTGGCTGCTGAGGATGCCGCGGGGGGAGAAGCATTTCCAGGTGGTGCGCCCAGAGCCTGTCCCCAGGGATCGCCCGCCGCAGCAAGGCTCGCGTTCCAGCTGGCTGCGGGGGCAGAAGTCATCTTGGATGTTCCTCTCTTCCAGGAATGATGTGCCTCTCCCCCCTCCCAGCTCCCCACCAACAGCTAAGGGGAGCACAGCACAGAGTAAGGCAGCACAGCGGGGACTGGGGAGCAGAGATCTCCCAGCAACGAGCTCGGCTGCGCTGTCAAACTGTTAGGAATGCTGCCCCGGCTGAGCCAGGAGAGCTAGCGCCGAGCAGAACAGCATCTATCCCGCCTCGTACATCCCCTCTCGCTTTGATGTCGCTGAAGGAGAAGGGGCTGGGAGCCCAGGCACGTTTATAGCCTTGCGAGTTCCCAGCGTCGTGACGGGAGCGGGGCGAGCGGCTCCGTTGGCTGGCAAGATAACGCCTCTTTCTGCCGGTTCTCCCTCCTCCTCCGCGATTCATTCACTGCCAGCAGCCGGCACTCCCAGGAGCTGTGCGCTGCCACGGGCAAAATGAATTCTCGTCTCGTTTACCTTGGGAGATGTGGTTTATGCTGCCTTTCTTTACTCTCATTACTGCGTGTCCTTTTGAAATGGGCTTTTTGCCCTGTTGCTGCAGGGCTGATTAGCTGGTGTGGTTGATCATCCCAGGACTGAGAGTGCTTTTATTACGGCTGTCGCCAGATGAATTTATTCCTGATGAATTCAGATCTGCTTTTTTGCTGCTGTCTTTTCATTTAGTAACTGTTCTGTTAACCCCAGGTTTGGAACAGAGACCTCTATCAGAAAAATCCATACATCCTCCTGCTCTCTAATTTCCCTTTTCAGCCTGTAACACGTAGCTGACATCAAGAAAAATGGCTAAAATTAAAATTGTCTTTTCCTTGCAGCACTAACTTTGGGGCCTGTAAAGACATTTGCATGTTCAGCAGACACTGGTTTTTCGGGAAACACTCCGCAGCCCTACACGTAATTGTCGTTAAAATGGGTAAAATGGTCCGGGCCTGCTCCTTTGTGTCTTTGAGAAACATTTTTGTTAGTTCGTTTTACTTGTTTGCATTTATTCTGCACTTGGTGCTGTTACTAGTTTGAGCAAACAATGGTTTCTATGCAGGGATTTCTGTGCTGGTAGAAAAGGGTGAATAAGGAAATGTGACACCTGACGTTTTCACACCCAAGAAATGAGTTTTCAGTGGCTGAGGAGGCTGGCACCGGGAATGTGTGCTTTACACCAGGTTGATTGCAAGGGGCTTCAGATAACAAACCTTTGCTGTTTGGTGGGCTGCAGTCTTTGGGCAGAAAATGTGGTTTAGTGCTGATCTGCTTCAGGCTTCAACCATTTGGAGCTACTACTTGTCAGCAGCAGTGATTCCAGCCGTGTCCCGGCTGCGGGAGCTGTTCCGCAGCCCTCGCAGAACCGACACGATCTCCAGTTCTTTCAAACAAAAGTCTCACGCAAGAATCAGATATTCGTGTGCCCCTTCCCCCAGCCGTGTGTACCCCGTGAAGTCGTGTCTGCACCCTGACTGTCGGGTCTTCGCCGCAGCTCTAACGGGAGCGGCTGCAACTGGGGCCGTTCTCTGCTTTGCCGTCCTCACCCGCCGACACCCCCCCCCCCCGCCCCCCCCCGCCGACACCACCCCCGCAGCCCCCCAAGGCTTCGCAGCTCTGCGGAAACTGCCCCTCGCTGCAGCCTGTCCAGACCCTACCCCGGCGCTCCTGCTCCTCGTCACGGGAACTCCACGGGAGCTAGTCCACAGCTCCATTTCAAGTCCCAAAACTTCCAGCCACTCCACCTTTTCCCCTCTCCCTGGGGGCAAGTGTGAAGAAGGGAACAGTAGCCACACGCAGCTTCGTGGCGTGTTCTCGAGATCCCACGGTGAGCAGGGTCAGCA